CCGTCTTCTTTATTGTTTATAAGTAGTCTCCGTTTGCTTTTTTGTTCATAACCGCCCGGTTTGTTATGTATTTTATGGTATGTCAACAGCTAACAGTTCCCAATAATAGGTGTGGAATCCACGAGCTAATCAAGAAGGATATGCTCCCTCGGCTGTTGAAGTATTGCGTATTATAGATGAAACTTTGGATGCCTTCTTTCAGCTGCCGATTCCCATGCATCCAGCATTGTTGCCTGATTTAATTGTTGGCCTGGATAGATGTCTTCAGTATTACACAAGCAAGGCTAAATCAGGCTGTGGTAATATTTCATTCTCAACAGTGTGGCTTAATCCACATTTCAGGTTTATCCTTGAAATCTTGAATGTTCATTGTTTACTTATTTGATGTGCAGGATCAAGAAATACATTCATTCCCACGATGCCCGCATTGACCAGATGTGCAACAGAGACAAAATTTCATGGTGTTTTTAAGAAGAAAGAGAAACCAGCCAATTTACAGAGACGGAACTCTCAGGTTGCAACAACGAATGGGAATAATAATGCTTTTGGAGTACCGCAGATATGTGTACGTATAAATACTCTGCAACGCATCCGTACGGAACTGGAGGTTTTAGAGAAGAGAATCCTAACCCTTTTGCGGAACTCAGAATCCGCTCATGTTGAGGACTTCTCAAATGGTTTGGGAAAGAAATTTGAGCTCACCCCGGCTGCTTGTTTAGAAGGGATTCAACAACTATGTGAGGCTATGGCTTACAAGATTGTCTTCCATGATCTTAGCCATTCTCTCTGGGACGGTCTTTATGTTGGTGAGCTATCATCTTCCACAATTGAATCTTTCCTTCAGGAGCTAGAACAGAACTTGATGGTTATTGCAGAAACTGTGAATGAAAGAGTCCGAACACGTTTAGTTGCTGAAATAATGAAAGCATCTTTTGAAGGGTTTTTGTTGGTATTGCTTGCTGGCGGACCATCTCGTTCTTTTACTCGACAAGATTCACAAATAATTGAAGATGACTTTAAGTCCCTTAAAGATCTCTTCTGGGCAAATGGCGATGGGTTGCCAATGGACGTAATCAACAAGTTTTCAGCTACAGCGAGAGATGTTCTTCCACTTCTGCGAACAGATACAGAGACCATTATTGAGCGGTTCAGACGTTTGACTCTAGAGGCATACGGTTCATCTGCCAAATCCAGACTCCCATTACCTGCAACTTCAGGTCAGTGGAGTCCATCTGATCCAAACACGCTTCTTCGTGTTTTGTGCTATCGAAACGATGATGCGTCTTCGAAATTCCTCAAGAAGACCTACAACTTGCCAAAGAAACTATGATAATTCCTTTAAAAATTGGCCACGATTACTGGGTTTTTCCACAAATCACCAGCGTAGTAAACCTGCATAGCTCTGCTTATGTTCACTATTTTTAAAGATTCTGCTCTTCAGTTGTCCATCTACGTTGGCTACAAAATAAGCAGACTTTCGTCAAGGAAGGTTATATTTCTGTACAGTTAATCTTCGAGCATCTTCGTTATTGAATCAATCCCACTTTTTAGATTCAGCTTGCAAGCATGAACGAAGCCTCGAAGTCAAAGACAAGGTAACATGTGAAGATTCATTATTGTTGTCATTAGGTCAGTGTCTATATAAGTTCTTCGGATCCTTTTACTTGCTTCTAGGCTGCATTGCTTGATTGTTTCATTTTGATGGAAATATTTGCTTCTCTTTTGCGACTTTATTCTCAATAGATGTAGTTGGTGCCAAATCAATATTAGGTATTTATTTATCATGTATAGTATTATACTTAACGCAACGGTTTTGTTTGCTATATGCTAAGAATTTCTTGTATGTTTAATAGGAGTTTGGATTTCCTGTTTGTTAAGATCACTGTGGTTACCCTGTCACAAATTTCCATATAAATCRTTTTCAATTCCACAATGGTTTAGGCGGTCATGTACAGAATGGAATGTATTAAGCGAAAATGTTATACAGGTAGTGTTATTATGATATATATGCTAATTATGAGAAGCCTTTAATGGATTTCTAAAGTATACAATAGATCCACACACATATATGATAGACACAAGTTTGAGAGAGAAGTATATGAGCGAGAAATAGTGTAAATGATTTCATTCACCATCTGGAACAACCAACCCAACATATGGTACAGGAACGACCGAGAACTTACAAAAAGAAAATGGAACAAATTACCAAAATACCCTCTAAACGAACTCTAATATCGTTACGTAATAGCTATTGTGACCGATTTATTAGAACTTGAAGAAGCCGACTGAATCCCTGCTGATGAAGCACGACCATTTGGTACCTGACTCTTTGGTAGTGCCTGCCACTTGTCAATGTATGCCATTGACTCCTGATCCAAGTCTGGAAGTTGGCGTCCTTCGAGGATATTTAGAATCGTTTTGGATTTACCAAGAAGCTGAGCTGCAGTTCGGATGCTCTCTTCCCTTTTCTCTATTGCATCGTGATGACACTTCAGAGTTATGACTCGTGGTAAGTTGGTAAAGCAAGCGCATAGTAGATCTGCGATTATAGTTGTAATCCACTCAAAAAGTTCCACATCTGTTGGCCAATCTTCTTGTTCATTGCAATGGAGCAGTATGGTTTGGCTGATTCTGTACATCGAACTGGCAGCAATGAATTTATGAAATGACTCATCTACACTTGCCTTTTTTTTTTTGCTTGAACTGTATCACAATCTGTATTGCTTCATCACTCAACCATTGAAGAATCTCCTGCGACATTTTTCCTTTATGAGCCTTCATTTGAAGATCAATATGTAGCCAACTGCAATAGACTTCGACTTCAGTCCATACACGTCTAGCTGTTTTTCTAGCCTTTACCAAGTCACCATTTGCATCGAGGGTTTCCTCAATATGTGTAACAAATTGGAGGCCTTCGCTCATGCTAGCAAGTAACCCCTTGACTTGGCCATTTTCAATGTTAGGAAGTGCAAGGGCAACGGCTGTTAATGTTATTGCTATTAGGCTCCAACAATTGTTGGTTTCTTCCGGATGTAAAGGTGGGACTTGGTCATTATCGAACTCTGCTACTCCGTTGAATCCTGTAGGCTTCTCTAGAAACTTCACAAGATTTCTTGGTTGTTTCTTTTCAGATTGGTAGAGAAGTTTAGTTATAGATTTCAGCATATTCTTCAACATTCTCTTTGAAAGCTTTGCCTCCTCTTCAATTTGCAGAGCATAACCAATATACTCTTTAATCTCTGATCTTGCATTGTTGTTGGATGCATTTGGTTCCTCTCTAAACCTTTTCAACAATGAGTTGCAGAAATGGCAACAAGAACAGAATAAGAGCATGATGCATGTGGGAACGAGACATATCGTTTTACATATAACCACAAGCGTCATCTGAAGTGCTATACAAAGGTTCAAAATCATGTTTTTGACATGATTGAAAACTTTTTTGCAATGGCGGCCTGGGATATGTGAAGTATAATGGTTGCGTTTCCAGTGCCGAAGCCTTTGGGTCCAATGTTTCTCGACTCTAAACATGTTTATATGATTGATGCTCCACTCTTTGGAGAGGTTGAAATAAGTGGTAGTAGTGATGCATCTAAAAGTTGGTGCAATGCTACCTACTACCATCCGAACATATTGTATGGTAAGAATTACATTGATTGACCACTTATAATCTGATTTTCCATCCCAAAAATGTGGTGTATATTCCAACATCCCTATCAAGCTCAAAATAGATTGTGCAGCAATTATAGAGCATACCAAGCCAGAAGCAGAACAGAAGGGTGAAGAAGCTAGCACAAATTGGGGGTTACCGGTTTCCGCAATCATCCAGTACTTTTTAACATGATGTGTGAGTTCCTTGGACGAGAACTTTATCTCTTGACAATCTAAAACCGATCTGTGCAACTCCTGGTACTGGTGTTGTATAACTCTTCTAGATGCTGGAACTGTAAAAGCTACCCAAAATGGCCATAAAAGGAAAAATGTCATGATAGACATTTGTATCACGTATACTTCACGATTATGATGACTAGCAGCTAATTGAATGGACATATTTACAATAATGGTGATGATGAGAATAGTTAGGGCTATGATGTTGGTGAAAAGTTCCTTGTCATCCATGCCCCCTAAAGAAGGCAGAAAGTTAGCTAACATGGTCAACAAGAAATAGACGCTGATTGACCTTTCCTTGCAATTTTCGTTGATGAAAGCATCATCGTCGGACATGTTAGTTGTTAGATCCACCGGTAACTTCATTGCTATTGCAATCAATGTGATGGAAGCTGCATTGAGGGTGAAAAATTTGCATGGAAACCAGAGTTTGCCTTGCCGAAAACCTTGGAAGACATCGGCAGCCATGGCAAGAGTGCAAATGAGAGATGCTACAGCAACATATAGCCCTACCCATGGCATGGCTTGAGCAGTAGATTTCATCTTGTAAGACAAGTGAAAATGAAGTTTTATATAGCTTAATTTGGTAGAACACGTGGTAACCGATGTTTGATATATATAAATATAGAGGAGGAATCTAAGAAAGATGAAGTTGGAACATATATATAGAGAGAAAAAACCCTCTAACCCCCTATTTTTTGTTTGAAAATGACGAAAAATAAACAAAATTCGAGTGAAATAAATTACACCAAAATAACGATCATATTTTTCTCGTTAAAATGATATCCCTATTGATATACTTTTTCATCTGTTTTTTTCCGTAGTTTTCCAAATTTTCATTTATTTAGCGTTTTCTCTTAAACTTGACCCCCACACACGTGTGTGTGTGTGTGTGTGTATATATATATATATATATATATATATATATATAACATACACATTGTGAATATAATATAAACAATCTTAATAAATTTTTACTACGATGTTCACAACACAAGGTTCACATTATCTTCAGGTATGTTTGTATTTGTTCTGTCTTCATGATATGTTCGAAAATGATACCAAATCTCGTATATCTGTTCACAAATTATAATAGTATTTATAAAAAAATGTTTACAATATGTTCTATCTTAAATTCATATTTAATTATGTGTATTCGTGCATTTTATGAAACGAGGAGAGAGAATATATGGGAGAGAAATTAGGAAATAGGAGAGAGGATAAATGTTTTAATTTAAGGGTTTTTCTAAGTCCACCCCCTCCTATCGGTGCATGTGAGGGGGGTGAGATTGTGTAGGGGGTGAGTATGTGAGGGTGAGAGTGAGGGAAAGGTGTGAGGATATCAACCCCTAATTTAAAATTAAATTTACTATTTCAACTTATTTTTTGTGGTTTAAATTGGATATTCCAAACAATTCTTAAAAGAAAGCCTCTCTCTCTCTCTCTCTATATATATATACATATATATATATATACATATATATATATATATATATATATATACACTTATATATACACACATACATGAATGATCGTATGAGAAGAGAAATTATGATGAAAAACATAAGAAGATATTTGGACCTTTAATCAATTTTAATCTTACGTGCCACATTTAGAAAGGAACTATTCTGGCACATCTCGGTGTATTTCATTAATGTTAATCGGATCAGAAGCCAACCCGGAGAGTTATTTGCTTACAAGTGGTAGGGATGAGTGATTGATGTGTCGAGATACTGATTTTATTTTCCCTTAATTTCCTTGTGAAGGGCCAAATAATTAATGTGTGGAGGCCGTTGAAACTTGAAAGCTTCAACGCATAAAAAAGTATCTGTATATTTGTTAAACTGATTTTTGCAAGTAGATTTTTTTTTTGTATATATATAAGATGTACTCGCTAAATGTTAAGGGGTGCTTCAAGATATTAGAATATAGAAGGGACGTTAACCAAAAAACCAAAAAAATCCCTTGAAATCAACCAAAAAGACGAAGAAGTCTCTCAAAATTACTTCAAAAAACCGAAAAGTCTCACGAAATAAACCAAAAAACTTAAAAATTCTATTGAAAGTTGAAACAATATATTTCAGCTATAAATAATTGGGTTTAGGCCTAAGACGCAATCTTGCGTCTTCTTTAAAAGGCCGATTTCATTTGGATAATACATTTAAAAGGCCGATTTCGTCTTCTTATAGCTCCAAGCTTGAATTTCATGAAACTAACTCAACCCTGAGTTCTCAACTTCAAAATCGAGATGCATTGCACGAGAATAATTCTAGTTTATTAAAAGACAAACGAATAATATTGGAATAGTTCGAGTTAGAAAGAAATTTCATCACTGGTTCCAAGAAAGGACAGGTGATCAAGATTTCATTTTTCATTTTGTATCGTTTCATTTTCCTTTCCTTCTCATGAGCCAGACTCGCCTCGTAATTTAGCAAAGACTGACCCAAAAGAAACGTATCGAATCTTTAGAAAATTCTTCCATCAAAAGAAACTTTCATTTGTTTCATTATAGATGAAGTATTTAAACTGATTGATTGATATGTCGACGTCGTTGCTCCATGTCCACATGTCCTTGAAGAAGAGAGTTTTATAATTTCTTTATTTTTAATATCGAATCTCATATATTTTAAATTCGACATTGATATATAGACTTTATATTCCACTTCAGTCTTGTAACGATTGAAAAGTTCAACTTAATTGGGTTTCTTCCCTTTTAAACCTTAAATTCATATAAATATTAACTATAAACCATAAATTTCCTTCGTACCAATAAGAATAAAAGCACGCATCTACTAAACTACGATCATCTTTGTAGAAAAAAGGGTGATTTTTTATGGATGTTAACAGTCTAGAATCGCTAGTGTATTATATCACATGCATGTCCCTATTTTAAGTTGATCTAGTTTCCTTTAATTTGCCTTAAAATGGATATTATTAATAATTTTAATGTCTTCATTCATTTTAATGTGATTGTAATTTAGATAAAGTCTTCGGCCTAGGATGAACATATACAAACAAGGGTATTATTGGAAAAAAAAAATCAAAAATACATGAGCATCTCCCCACCCCCACCCCCACCCCCACCCCCACCCCCAATTGAACATAGGTTTATTGTGAACAATTATGAACAATATATTCACTTGTGGACATGAATTCACTTTTGAACAGTGTGTTTGGATGTTTATATATGTTCACAAAAGTTCACTTAGTTGTTATATCTTTTCATATGTTAATAAACAATTAGCATTGTACCCTTATGAAAATATGTTCACGTATGAACAATGAAATTTAGTTCAACCATTACTATTGTTCAATAATCAAATCGAACTATTTGATATGAAGAATGATATCGATTACATATATGTTAAATATGACCATCCAAGTTTTTTACTCTATTAAAACACCAAATCCCACCAACAATCTAGAAAAAAAATTGAACATAAATAATTTAGCTAGAATCATGGGAAGTTTTTGTAACAACCCATAATGTAAGTAAGACAAAAAAGAAAACTACCAATATATTTTCACTATTAATTGTATGGTGATAGACAAATCTAAAATAAAAATGACTTGTCATTGGTCTTAAAGATTTGTATAGTTAATATTTTTTTATGATTAACAAACGATCTTAGCGTGCACTCACTCTCTCTCTCTCTCTCTATATATATATATATATATATAGCTATTATTGATTAGGTTTAAGAACCATCCACATGAATATTATAATATATTCATTATAAATATGATTCATGATTAATAACACATCCATATTATGTAATTATTTGTCTAAAGAATTGCAGGGACCAGTGACCTTGATTTTATTTTCCCTTTTGTTCTCAAAGGATAATAATTGATGTGCGGGGGGTCATTGAAACTTAAACGCATAATTGAGCTAAGTCTAGAGACGACACGTGTGGAAATTCTTGGAAATTTCTCATATCAAGAAAAAAAACGGGGTTTCCTATTGTGGAACTGAATGATAATAAAAGCAATTAAGAGTATTTATGACAGATTCTTTAAAATTTATCTAAAATTAAGAATTAAATCTCAAAATCTTCATTTTTCAATTCTAAAGATTGACCCAAACRAAACGTATGGAATCTTTGGAAAATTCTCCTATCAAGAAAAGGTTTCATTTATTCCATGAT